ACAGAGCCCCACTACTCTAGAATTTCATAAGTGATAGAGCCAGATCCTGGAGCTGCAGGGCTTTGTGGGTGACAGAACTGGAGCCCACTACTCTTGATTTTTTTTATAAGTGATAGAGCCAGATCCTGGAGCTGCAGGGCTTTGTGGGTGATAGAGCCAGATCCTGGAGCTGCAGGGCTTTGTAGGTGATAGAGCCAGATCCTGGAGCTGTTTTGTGGATGACAAGAGGGTTTTGTGGATGACAGAACTGGAACCCATTACTCTAGAATTTTATAAGTGATAGAGCCAGATCCTGGAGCTGTAGGACTTTGTGGATGATAGACCTGGAGCCCACTACTCTTGATTTTTTATAAGTGATAGAGCCAGATCCTGGAGCCACAAGGCTTTGTGTATGACAGAAGCAGAGCCCATTACTCTAGAATTTTATAAGTGATAGAGCCAGATCCTGGAGCTGCAGGGCTTTGTGGGTGATAGAGCCAGATCCTGGAGCTGTTTTGTGGATGACAGCAAGAGGGTTTTGTGGATGACAGAACTGGAACCCGCTACTCTAGAAATTCATAAATGATAGAGCCAGATCCTGGAGTCGCAGAGCTTTGTGGGTGACAGAAGCAGAGCTTGCTACTCTAGAATTTTATATGTGATAGAGCCAGATCCTGCAGCCATGGAGCTTTGTGGATGACAGAAGCAGAATCCACTAGTCAAAGTTTTTATTAGTAATAGAGCCAGAGCCTGTGGGTGATAGAGTCAGAGCCCGGAGCTGCGGGGCCCTGTGGATGGTAACTGATAGAGCCACACTGTTGGATCATAGAGCCCAGCCCTGAAAAAGGGCCAGTGGGCTGGGAGATGGCAGGAGATCTTGCTGGCCCCAACAGGATGGTAACAGTTTCACCTGTATAGAACTCTCAAATCAGTCAAGTGTTTTCCAGATGTTGTGGGGGTCTGGGTCGCCATTTTTCAGACAAGGCTCAGGAGGGTGAAATCACTTGCCCAGGGCTTCACAGTGAATGTCTGAGGCTGCACCCTTCCAAGGGAAATGTTCTATCTGTTACCATGGGGGCTCAGGGAGCGGGCAGGCCCTGCGGCATGGGCATCAGTGGAGGCGTGTCATATCCCAGATTCCTTCTTTCAAAGCCCCTGCCCCATGGGACACTAGACTGAATACCTGCCTTGGAGGGCCTCCACGGGCCCATGGGGTACATAGTTCATCTCTGTGGCCTTCTGGTGCCTTGATGGGCCTTGGACTTATCCCCCCACCCAGAATCTCCTCTAGCCTTAGGCAGACACTAAACACAGCACCTTTCCTTGGAGGGGCCCCATCCATCACGCTCCCATTCGCACAGGGGCCTGGATAGTGTCAAATGCGAGGAGTCATCCATCCCACGGTTTGCCATTGTGGCATTCACACCAGGTGGCTAGGGCAGGGATTCGTATCCCTCTTTTACAGCTGGGGAAGATGAGGCTCAGATCAGGGTAGGGATGTCACCAGGGTTGCATGCCTAGTGGCAGAGACAGGACTGACTCTCTGCCAAAGCCACACTTACCCGCGCTGCCAGCTGCCGGTGCCCACCCACCCCAGCAGAGGACGTCCCAGGTGTCCGGGGCCTCCCCACCTCCCTCCCCCGCCCTTGTCCCCCGCGGAGGCCAGAGAGCGAGGATGAATTCGCACTCTCTGCTCTTCTCGATCTCCCATTAGGCCATTAGCTTACAAACCTTCCTACAGCAGCAGCAGGCTCAGCTGGAGCTCCTGGCCAGACGGGTCACCCTGCTGGAAGCCATCATCTGGCCAGGTAACCGAGGAGAGGCTGCCCCCCCATCTAGGGGTCGGGGGGCATGGGGAGGGCCAAGGACAGGGCCAGAGAGGCCCCGCACCATTGGGGGAGCCTGCTGCAGGGAGCACCAGAGAGCAGGGAGGTGTGCAAGGAGGCTTAGGGAGGTCCTGCTGGTGCCCAGCCAGGACCGGAGAGGGAGAGGAGGGCCCAGAGGAGCCCTAGAGCAGAGAATGGCAGAGCTTGGAGGGGCCTTAAAACAGGGGATGCCAGGGCTGGGAGGGGCCTCAGGACAGGAAATGTCAGGGCTGGGAGGGGAACAGGGGATGGCAGGGCTGAGAGGGGCCTTAGAACAGGGGATGGCAGGGCTGGGAGGGGCCTTAGGACAGGGGATGACAGGGCTGGAAGGGGCTTTAGAACAGGGAGGTCAGGCCTGGGAGGAGCCTTAGAACACGGAAGGTCAGGGCTGGGAGAGTCCTTAGAACATGGAAAGTCAGAGCTGGGAGGGGCCTTGAAACAGAGACTGTAACTTCAGCATTCATTAAGGCCAAAAGAGGAAATAGAAACCATGACTGCATTGTCCTTGAAAGGCAGATAAACTTCCCACAGGGGAGATATGAAGAATTCTCCCTGAAGAGTTTAAATTCTTGTCTCATGGAGGGAATCTGGTTGCCCAGCCTGGGACCTCCAAGCTAGGCTCCTGCCCCTCCCAGGTGACTGAGCCCACTCCCTGCCCCCCTCAGATCCCTGAGACCTGAGAGGAAGCCTCACCAGAGAGAGAGAGCACGGGTCATCCTGAGTCATATGGACAAACCCTTGTTTGTCCTTCCTACCCTTAGCCCCAGTCTTAAGAGACTTTTATTTTCAGCAAGTATGACCTCCCTGGGTGTGATGCCTGTCATGCAGGCTTTTCCTTTACATTGATCTCCAATTAGACAATAAACAGGGGCTGGTACATCCCCAGCAGTCAGGGGAGTGATCTGGGGACAGGAGGCCTTCCCTGGCCCTGAAATTGAATGATTTTTCAAAATGCCTTCCTCACCACAGCCCCCCATGATGGCGAGTAGGTGAGGGTCTGGCAAATTCTTTTCTGGGCTACCCAAGAGGAAGGAGCCCTAAGGCTTCTGGGATTGGATGGGAAGGCCTAGTTTTCTGTGTCCTTGGCTGTCTGCTGGGGATTTTGAGGGGTCTTCTGCTGTCTGACTCCAGAGCTATCTTTATTAGGCCAGTGGGTCACAGACTCCTGCTCCTTTGACGTTCCCTGTTCTAAGGCCCCTCTCATCCCTGACATTCCCTGTTCTAAGACCACTCTCAGCTCTGACATTTTAGGCAATAAAGGCCTTCCCAGACCTGACATTCTCTGTTCTAAGACCACTCTCAGCTCTGACATTTTAGGCTATAAAGGCCCTTCCCAGACCTGATGTTCTTTGTTCTAAGGGCCCTCCCAGCTCTGACATTCCCTGTTCTAAGCTCCCTCAGAGCCCTGACATTCCCTGTTCTAAGCTCCCTCCCATCCCTGACATTCCCTGTTCTAAGACCCCTCTCAGCTCTGACATTTTAGGCTATAAAGGCCCTTCCCAGACCTGATGTTCTCTGTTCTAAGATCTCTCCCAGCCCTGACATTCCCTGTTCTAAGAGCCCTTTCTATGTAAGCAGTAAGGGCATTATTTTTCCCCTTTTACAAGGGGGAAACTGAGGCTGAGATGTCAAAGTGGGATGAACTTGATCCTAGGATCAGAGGTTTCTCACTGGAAAGGATGTGCCAAGTCCAGCCCCTCATTTTACAGAGGCCCAGAGAGGTGAAGTCCCTTGCCAAGATCACACAGCTAGTCAGCAGCAGCTCTCCTGACACGCAGCTTTCTCTCACTCCCTGTGGGGCCCCAGAGCGTGAGTCTTCTCCCCACTGCTTAGTAAAGATGCCTCGGGAGCTCGCCGACAGGTGGCCCTCTCAGCCAGCCCCAGCAACCCCTGGCCTGCGTCCCTCTGGCAGCACAGAAGGAATCGGCCACCTCCCCAGCTCTGCATCCATCTCCAAGCGCAGGCTGGGCCGAGAGGTGCCTCATCCGTTCGCTATCAGCAGGCCTCTCCTCCATGAATCAGCCTGAGCACAGTTAGCACTGAGCATAATGAGCCGCTGGCTCCAGAAGGCCCCTCAGAGGGGACACATGCAGTACACGAGTCTGGACTTATTTGACAGGTGAGTCAACTGAGTCTGGTCCCGAACGGACGTGTTGACACAGCACCGGCCACCTAGGGGGCCCAGGCCTGCTATGAGGGCCTAGCACAGACCTGGATACGTAGAAGGTACTCCAAATAGACAAGGACCCTCAGAGTTCACCTAGTCACAGAATCTCAGACCTAAAAAACAAACCTCAAAGGCCACCGGTCCTCCAACTTGTGCCCAGATAGGAATCCCCTCCAATACCATCCTAGACAAGTGATGTCATCCAACTTTTGCTTGAAGACCTCTGGTGATGGGGAGCTCACTACCTTGCGAGGCATCCCATTTAGTTCATTAGGAAGGTTTTCCTGACCTCAAGCCGAATCTACCTCCTTACGCTGGTCCTGGTTCTACTCTCTTGGACCAGACAGAAAAGTCTGCAAACACTTGAAGGCTGCTTCTACATCTTCTCTTCCCTAGCCCAATCACCCCCAGCTCTTCCAACGGCTCCATCCTGGTCATTCAGACAAGTGCCTGGGAGAGGGAACTGTCCAAACTCCTTCTGTCTTCAAGGAGGAATGTGATGTCCAGAAAGTAATGTGCCCAGAGGCAGAGGAGGCTCACTTACAGCCTTGATTTTCCCAGCCATAAAATGGGGATAACATTTGTTCTGCCTTCGCCCTTAAGAGGTAGAGGAAAAGAGAAATGGAAATAGAAACTAGTAATAGCGAGAAAAGGGGGACCCGGGCCCTTCTAACTCAGTGAGTCCTGGGAGAATGCGTTTGGAATCTCCTACAGATGAGTTTACCAACAGTGGGGCTTTGAGATCTTCAGATAACCATCAAAGGCTCCAATTGTTCATTCAGCAGGCTCTGAGCGTTCTCCCTGCTGGCCTCTGGCCTCGAACCTGCCAGAGGTCAGCTCAGCAGCCCCCCCCCAGGGCTCTCTCCTCCGGTATCTCCTCTGGCTCTCCCACATAGCACCCAGAAGAGGGACCCGCTGGGAGACCCTCCCTGATAACGGCCCTGGGATCGGGCTGGAGTAACCCTGTTTCTCTTGCCTTCCTCTGGCAGAACCGGACCTTGGCTCCGGAACAGGGCCCCCCAACACTGGAGCCTCTGGCTTTCCTCGGGGCAAGCGGGCAGGAGGACCAGCCACTTACCGGATCGTCTCCCGTCTACTGGCCCAGGGCAGTGAGGACCAGAAGGACTGAGCCTGGTCTGCTTGGGTGCCAAGCGGAGCTCGGGATGGAACCCCTTCCCACCTTGGACTCCTTCCAGGCTCTCATCCCACACCCTGGTCCCCAGGGATGAGCTATTTATTGGAGTGAACGAGCACCGTGCCCAGGAATGCAGATAGCCACCTGTCCACCCTAAGTGGTAGCCGGGAGACTGTACCCGAACCATCTCCTCCGGCCGTCGGAAGGTGGGAGGGCCCGGCTCAGAGCTGGGGGGCTGGCCTCTCCCCTCCCATATCCTCTGCCTAGCAGGACTGCCGGGGCCACTAAGAGAGGCTCGGCCTGGGCCCTGGGCACAGGGCCTGTGGGGAAGGGGGGGTCCAAACCCAGCCGTCACCAGCTTGTCCCCTCTGGGCCTCAGGTCCACATCTGGACTGGGAGGGGGTCTCAAGAGCTGGAAAGGACCTTTCTGGAGCAGATCTACACCATGTCCCCTCATTTCATCTAGCCTTCCCCACTCTCCCTCTTCACTTTACAGGGGAAGAATCTGAGGCCCAGAAGTCAGGGGAACACAGGGTCATAGCTTTGAAGTTAGGACCCTTACAGGCTATCTAGTCTAACCATCCTCTAGAACAGGGAAGTGACCAGTCCAGGGTCACCCAGGCGCCAAATCCAACGTTCCTTCCCCCACTCTGAGCTACTTCTGGGGGTTGAGGGGGACCCAGGATTATCGTGGGGAACAGGTGTAGACATGCCCAAGCAGCGCCGGGTGGCACCCTCCCTTAAGCCCAGGGGTGGCCTCTGAGGTTGGCTGCCCTGGCCCAGGAAGCCCCGCAGTGAGCCTGCTGGTCTCCCCCCCCCAGCTATCTCCCCACCTGCCAGCATCTCCCCCCCACAGCTAGCAGGGAGCTGCCTTCAGAACAGGGCTTGGTAGCCGACCACGCAGCAGAGCTGGAAAGGCCCTTGGAGTCTGCCCGCCCCCCGTTTATGCAGGCTAAGGCTGAGCACTGTGCCCAAAGGCACCCAGCCTTCTGGGCCTGCTTCTCCTCCCCCCAAAGGCGGTGCTGACCCCCACATGGTACTTGCGGTGCTATATCCCCCCCCAAAACTGTAAGGTCAAGTACCAGCTACCCTTTGACAGAAAGGGAAGGGCAGGGCAAGGGGCCTGTGTCTGACCTAAGTTTCCTCCCCCGAGATCAGGGAGCCCCAGGCTCCCCGACATTGCAGCCTGTTTCTTCACGTGTTACCCCATGTAGTCCCTGGGGTGCAGGGGCCAACAGGGGGAGAGAGGGGTGGCCTTCGTGTTTTATACGGCAGGTAGATGCTCATGGCCGTTATGAGCTGGGGTCCCGGCAATAAAGGTCCCTCCCCCTCCGTCTGGTTCTCCTGGGGTGGACGGGGTGAGGGACAGGTTGCTGCTGGCAGGGGGCACATGCCGTAGCTTGGGGGTGGAGGGACGGAGCAGACTGGGACCCCGGGCTCCTGGCTTCTACCCCCATTGCCAGCACTGACCCCGAACCCCCTTTCTGGAAAGAGCTTCCTGATGATGGAGGCTGTCTCAAAGCGGTGCGATGGCCTGCCTTGGTGTGCGCCAGGGGGAGCCCCACTTGGTCTGGCTGGGGTGACCTCTGAGGTCCCAGGGAAGCAAGGACTAGAGCAGCCCCTGGCATCCCTCCCTTCCGCGGCAGTTACCCAGAGGCCCGCATGCCTGGATGGGTTTTCTGCTTTTGGCTCAGGTTTCTTTCTGGCCTTGGACCCTGACTCCTAGGCCTTGTTCCGCCTCGTTCTCCTGGCCTTGGCCCCCAGGGGGTCTGTCTTGTTCCCACCACCCAGCCTGGCAGATTGTTCCTGACCAACTTTATCTGGTTCCTCCTTAACTGATGGGATGCCATGGAAAAAGGCCAGACTTGGCATCAGAGGACCTGGGTTCAAATCCAGGCTCTGCTACTTTCTGTCTGTGGGTTCATGGGTGAAGGACACAGGCTCCCAGTATCCTCTGAGGTCCCTGCACCTCTAAGTCTGTGGTCCATCTCCAGAGCCATAACTAAGGTGCGCACAATGAGACTTTGCCCCAGGGTGCTGAAATCTATGCCACAAGCGCTCGGGGACTTGGGGTCCCAGATGTCTACAGCTGAAAGGGTGCCCGCTCACCCACTTCCAGAAACCAAGCATCTACTTCTCTTTAAAGATGAAATGAATTTATTCGGCAGGGGGATGTTTGTGTGTATGTGTGTGTGTGTGTGTGTGTGTGTGTGTGTGTGTGTGTGTGCATGTGTGTGTGTGTGTGTGCGCGCGCCCCCGTGCACGTTGCTGGGAGCTGATCGGATGGCCTCTGAGAGTAGCCTGCGCCCGGACACACCCCCCCATACACACACAGGCTGCCCCTGCTGTTCCCACTCCAGTGCAGCCATCAGAGGAACGCTCCTTAAGGCCTGGCAGGCTCCTGTTTCTGGGCAGGTGGAAGGGGGACCTCCCTGGAAGGCTCACTTCTGCCCGCCAGGGTCACCTGGGCTGCATCTCCCACCTGCCCCTCAACCAGAAGCGAGACGGCCCCTTCCACGCGCCCTGTGGCTGCGAGCGCCACCACCGCCTGCTCCATGGAGAATCCCATGCGCTCCAGCTGCTGCAGCCTGTGTGGAGGAAGGGTTGATGTCAGTTCCCAGGACTCTGCTCCATGCCCACGCTCCTGCCGCCGCGGCCCACCCCGCCTCACCTTAGGGAAGAGACAGCCGACTTGGACAACCTCAGCTCCTCCGTAGCCCGCAAGCGCTCGTCCTGAAGGGAGGCATGGATGGCGGCCTGCAGCAGCTCCTCGTTCACAGTGTCGCCCTGGCTCCAGAGCGGGGTCTCCAGAGGGAGGCTGGGGGCATCCCACGACGGGGCCCCTTCAAACAAGGAGGGCCCAGCCCCCAGGCCAGGAGACAGGGGGGCTGGGGCCCAGAGTCCTGGCACCAAACTCCCAAGAGGTCCAGGACCTGGATGTCTGGAGAAGCAGGAGCCAGTCACGGTAGGAGGCTTGGCCTCTGCCCTGAGCCCTCCAAGAACCCCCCCAGGGAACCAAACCATTTCTGTTCCCCCCACCCGGCTCCCCAGGCCAGGGGCTCACCTCAGCCCAGCAGGGTGGACTACGGGCAGCTCCAGCGGGCTGCCTGGGGCTGGGATGAAACACAGCAAGCAGCCCCCCTCCAGTGCCCTGCAGACACCAGCCTTCTGCAGGGCCTGGAGCCGGCACTCGGAGAGCTCCAGCCGGCGGAAGACCCCAGTAGAGTCTGCGTCAGCCCCCAGCAGGGAGGCCAGTTAAGGGAAAAACGTGCCAGGAGGCCCTGCAGCCCCTCATTTTCCCACCTCTGCACCTCTGCCTGCCTGCTGGGCCTCCCTGCCCAGAACCACCACCTGCCCACTAGACTCTCCCCCCTCCACTGGTACGTGGGTCCAGAAGAGCTGGTCAGATGGGCCAAGTGGCTGGACCTACCCCCTCCCCCTCCAGGCTTCCCCGCCCCCTGAAGTTCTGGCCCTAATCCTTCTTCCCCTTCATCTATCATGCCCCCCCCCCTTACTCCCAGTGTTCTCATCTCCAGGCTAAATGATGCTGGTGCCCCCAGTGATGCCTCGAGGTTCCGGGCCACCTCGGGACATTCCCCGGCCAGTCCTCCCTAAACTCTGGCACTCAGCCCGGGCCCCAGGTTCCAGGCACGTTCCAACCAGCGCAGAGGCTGGCCGGCCCAGCCCCGATGCCCACCAAAAGATACAGGCCAGGCCCGTGAGGAGGCCGCACAGCTGAAGCAGGAAGGGGGGCTCAGAGCTCACAAGGTGCATGAGGGCCAGCAGCAGCAGAGGCGGGACCACCCCCCCGGGCAGCCTGGTCCGGCTCCGGTGCTGGGCCGCCAGCAGAGCCAGGTGGACGGGCGCGTAGCCGCAGCCCCTGCTCCCTGCCCCGGGCACCCCGAGGCTGGCCAGAAGCAGGTAGAGCAGCCCGGTGGCCAGGGCGCCCAGGGCCGAGGCGTGGACGTAGCGCACGGTGCCCAGGTGGCTCTCCTGATACCAGCCCAGGGTGGGGAAGAGAAGCAGGCTCAGCAGCAGGGCCGGGAGGGCCGTGTGGCCCAGCGGGAAGGTCAGCAGCCGGTACACTGACAGGACAGGAGACAGAGAGTTCGTGAGAAGAGCCCCCGCCAGCCCTCCCCCAGCAGCCCAGGGCGACAGCTCCCCATTGATCAGCAGCACTCAGGAAGCTCTTACTGTGTGCCAGGCACACGCCCCTTCTCAAAAGGCTTACAGTCTGTGGGGAGGAGGCGGCGTGCTCACACATAGGTACATTCAGTCAATCGGCAGCTCTCAGGAAGCACCTACTGCGTGCCGGGCAGTGGCCAAGGGCTGCGCAGAGCAAAGATTTTTAAAATGGAACAGAAGCGCACAGTCTGCTGGAAGGCGTCAACGTGCCCACATACGGGGTGTTAAAAACGCACCGTCAGCAGCACTTCTTTATTAAGTGCCAGTCCCGGGGCTCGGTGTCGGAGCTCCACACCAAAATAAATTATCATCGCTGGCATATATGACGTTGGGTTTTACAAGTAGGATCTCATTTGATCCTGGCAACTCTGGCGGGTCGGGGCTATTATTATCCCCTTTCCATTGTACAACTGAGGAAACTAAGGCAGATAGCGGTGAAGTCAATTGCCCAGGGTCTAAGGCAGGATTTGAACTCGGGTCTTCCGGATTGTTGGCCCAGAGCTCCACCACCTTGCTGCCTAAACAATCCTTGCTCTCAAAGAGCCGACGTTTGAAGAGGACAATGGCTACACATAGCTACAAATAGATGTAGAATAAGTACATGGTAATTAAACACAGGGGCCGCCAGATGGCGCCATAGTGCATGGAACACCCGGCCAGGAGTCGGGGAGACTCATCTTCCTGGGTTCAAATCTGGCCTCAGACACTCACTGGCTGTGTCACCCTGGGCAAGTCACTTCACCCCGTTTGCCTCAGTTTCCTCATCTGTCAAATGAGCTGGAGAAGGAATGGCCAACCGCTCTAGTATCTCTGCCAAGAAAACCCCAAATAGGATTATGAAGAGTTGGAACTGATGGAAAATGACTGAACGCCAACAATTAAAATACAGAAATAGTCTGGGGAGGGGGAGGGCCCCAGCAACTGAGAGGGATCGGGCTTCCTCCAGAAAGTGGCGCTCGAGCTGCCTCCTGAAGGAAGAGAGGGAGTGCCTGATGTAGGGGACAGCCAACGCAGAGGCCTGGAGGTGGGAGATAGAGGGCCGTGTGCACGAAACAGAGAAAGGTCCATGGAGCTGGACAGTGAGCCGTGGGAAGGGGAGATCCAGACGCTGGGCGGGGCCCCTGGAGTTTACTGAGGGCCAAGGGGATGGGGGACCATTCAGGAGAATCTCTCTGGCAGCCCGGGAAGGAAGGACTTAAGGCCAGTAAACGGTACAGGGGGAGATGAGGAGGCCTGAGCCAAGGTGGAGGCCCAAGGGGTCCAAGAGGAAGGACTCAAGTTCTGCACTGAGAGGGCACTTAAGTGAATGAATGAATAAACGAACAAATGAATGGATGAATGAATGAACAAAGGAACGAATAGGCCTGTTCAAGGACCCTCCTCCCCCCAAAAACTCAGCATTTCTTCTTCTTAGCCTTTATTAGATGCTGTGTTCAAAAACAAAAACACAAAATCACAGTCTCCAAACTGAAAGGGACCCCAGACATCCTCTCCGCTAGCCCTGAGAAGGCATTGCTTGAATACCCCCGGTGACAGGGAGCTCACCCCCTCTCCCAGCAGCTCACTCCTCTCATTGTTAGAGGGCTGGCTTGGTAGGTTGGAAGGAGAGCTGCCATCGCCTCCTGGCTGGGTGACCCTGGGCTAATCACCTCCCTCCCACAGGTGTAGACAACGTGTGTTTCCTTCCCAAAAATCTCTCCAAGGCAATGAAATCAAAGGTCACATCGCCTGCCTGCCTCAGTTTCCCCATCTGTAGAATGGGGACAATAATAGCACCTCCCTCCCGGGGTTACTGTGAGGATTGAATGAGATGATATTTGTAAGATGCCCAGCACATAGTAGGAGGTATATAAGTGTTAGCTATCATTATCATCAAATCATTAAGAAGTTGCCCCGCTCCAGGCCTCAGCCCCCCTCAGGTCAGGCAGAACAGGACTGAGCTCTGCTACTGGGAGAACCCCTCCAAGATGCGGGGACAGCCTGGCATGTCTCCCCTCAGGCTAAGCACTCCCAGTTCCTCCCACTGACCCTCCCATGGTACGATCTCCCAGGACCTCCGATATGGGCCTGGGAGAACCCGGAGCCCCCCAGCCTGGGATGGAGAAGCAAGGCCCGGCTTTGCTGCGGTGACTCAGCCAGGCTGTGGCAGAAACAGACCACCTGAGCCCGGGGCCTCCAACTCTCCATCCCCTCCTTCCTCCTGAGGCCCTTTGCCTCCTCTGATAGCCGTCCTCTAGCCAAAATTACAGGAGCAGACTGAGAGCTGGGGGGCTCTCGGAAGGCCCCGTGAGAGGTGACCCCCTGCCTGAGCTGCTGACCCCTGGCATCCCCTCAGTCCAGGGCCATCCCCATCAACCGTAATGGGGGGGGAGATGTCCCGGGGAGGCTGATATCACTCTTCCCACCGTAATCCGTCCTCCACTCAACCTTCCAGGTCACCTTCCTTAAGCCAGGCCACACTCCAGGCCTTTGTACCAGTGGGGCTCCATGCCTGGAATGCCCTCCCTCCTCAAACTCACCTCCTAGCTTCCCTGGCCCTTAAGCCTCAGCTCAAATAACCCCTTCTACCACCCCAATTCCCACCCCCACACCCCCACAGTTACCTTTCATCTACTCTGTATAAATCTTGTCCATACCTAGTTATTTACATTAGATTAGACTGTAAGCTCCTGGAGGGCAGGGTCTATTTTTGTCTTTCTTTGTATCCCTGGCACTTAGTAGGATAACAGGCATATAGTAAGTTGAACAAACTGACTTTAATTGACTGACAAAGTGAAAGTACGTCTCTCCTTTCTATTAACAACTGGAAGAATGTACTCTGTAGAGGACTTTCTTTGGGAGTCAGCTGGCAAGTGTCTA